CTAGTAATAGGGGTGTATGTGCCAGGGGATGTGTGTGCTAATATGTATATGTGTGTGTATGTGTGTGTGTAAGGGAATCTGTATCAGTAATGTGGCAAGTTCAATTCTGCTCTTTCTCCTATTGCACCCCTATCTCACCCCCTCCTCAGAGCCAGCTCATGCCAGCTTGTTTGTCACTGCAGATTCCGGTGACTCATCTTCCTGCACCAAGCCTCAGCAGTGGCACAGCAGAGAGGGGGCAAGCAGTAATGGGCTGAGGGCACGGACACTAGATAGCAGGGTGAAAAACAGCTAGGTGACCTGTTCACCAACCCCCAAGTCCCTATAGCTTTTTGCTTCTGAAAATCAGAGGCTCATTTTGGGTATGTGCATGCAAATAAAGGGGTAAGGGGCAGACACCAGAAAAGAAAAGCATTATCTACCATTTGTTTCTTCTCCAATTCTCTGAGCAACCCTTATATGCCAAGAGAAGCAAGAGACAAAGGAGATTTGCCTGCGGTGAGACACCCTGGGTCTTTCCAGAAGGAGAGAATTGACACAGGTGGCTATCTGCCACCACCACCTCCCACCCCAAACAGGTGAGGGGGCCAGACCCCACAGGGAGGGGGCCCTTTGGCGGTGGTGGGAAGGGGCAGATGTGGCAGGCAGGCAGGGTGTTCAGGGGAGGGAGGGCACCTTCTACCATGATACTCTTCCTCCTCCTCCTCCTCCTCCTCACTGTCCCAGGCCCATACCTCCTGCAGCAGGTCAGCCTGCTCAATAGCCTTCAGCACACTCTTCTTGGAGGTGTCCTGGACATCACCCCCCATCAAGAACTCATCCAAGATGAAGTAAGCCTTCTCAAAATTGAAGATGATGTCCAGCTCGCACACCTGAGAAGAGGGTGAAAAGGCAGAGTAATGAAGTGCATTCCCACCCCACATGCACCACCTCGTTTCTCAATATGTCTCCTCTTCTTCATGACTACCCTCCAACCTTAGTTCCTGCCCCAGGTCTATGTCCTCCTGACCCCTAGGCCTTAGTGCTCGGACCAAGTTTCCTTCTCCTTCTCTTGCCTCTTTGTCCTTGACTGTGGCTTCCGTTGCCTTGTCCCTCAGAATCTGTGACATTGTTTTCACCAGCACTGGGTTAGCCTTCTTCCCTAAATTCTTCGGGGCAGGGAAGGAGTCGTTAAGATCAGGAACTGCTGATAAAATCTGAATATGACTTTTGTCCTTTTATGAGAAGTCTGAGCTGAGTTCTAGATGGACTGATTAAGAGGCAGATTCTGGTCTCTACCTCCTCCCCCAGACTGATTAAAGGGCATGGCTAAAGAGGGAGATTATTTACCATTCTCACTGCTCCAACTTCACCTCTCCCAACTATTCCAGGGCAGAGATTCCAAGGACCCCAGAGTTGGGAGGGAAGAGGGGATTGCTGAGTATGGAAACAGGGGAGGGTGACTTACGCTGCCAAAGTATTTGTCCAGGAGCTCCACATATCGGTGGATCAGTTCCAAGGTGATGAGCTCATTGTCTTGGCCCTCGATGGCACAGCAGAAGTAGAGGCTGGCATATCTGAGGAGAGGGGCACATGAGAGACAGCTGAAAGGGCTATTGTCCTGCCCCAGGACCCAGACACTCTGGGCTCAAAACTCTCACTTCTCCTTATTCCAAGCCCAGGGTCTGTGTGGCTTCGGGACAAAGCTGGGGTGGCTCCAGGATATACAAATAGTAACTCGCTCAGCCGTTTAGTGCCTCTCACTAACAGGCAACAAACAAACTCTTTCCTCCTCTTGCTCTCTGACCTGCTCGGTTTGACTCAGCAAAAACCTGAGCCAACTAATTTCACCTCCTCAGAGAAGGAACTAGAAATGGTGGTGGTGGTGGTGGTGGTGGTGGTGGTGTGTGTGTGTGTGTGTGTGTGTGTTGGGAAAGTGGCACAGGATTTATTATTTATGACTGAGACAGCAAGGGACATGTGTAACGTACAAGATATGGCCCTTGGGACAGAAGAATGTGTGTGAAGTAGGTGTGAGACTAGAGCAAAACTAAGTGGGGAACAAGAAGTTCTTCTTTTTTTTTGTTTTTCCCCCAAAAATATTTTATTGATTTTCCACAGAGAGGAAGGGAGAGGGAGAGTCAGAAACATTGATGAGAGAGAAACATCAATCAGCTGCCTCCTGCATCCCCCTGCCCCCCACCGGGGACGTGCCCTTGACCAGAATTGAACCTGTGTCCCTTGAGTCTGAAGACCTACGCTCTATCCACTGAGCCAAACCAGTTAGTTGGGGAACAAGAATTTCTTTAAGGTGAATGTAGGAAGGAAAGAAAGCTGGATTTCAGCACTGCCCTCGAGGTGTCCTTAGCCCCAGTTCTCCCCATCCTAGGGACTGCATATTACTCAGCTATTTAAACCCACTGCCAAGCCCCCATCAAGCAGGATCCAGGCAAGTCTGAAAGCAGGTAGGGAGTCACCTCTTATAGACAACTTTGAGGTCTCTCCACTCCAGGAAACTGCACATTTTGGGCTTGCGAGCCAGAACAACCTGCATGAGCTCCCGAACCATCTTCTTTCTCTCCTTGTCTGATGTGGCCAGGTACCATTTTTGTAGTCTCAGCTTTCCCTGCCGGCTGAACAGCAGCATGAATCGCATCTGGGGGAAAAACAGGGGGTAGGGATGGGGAAATGAGAGGCAGAGCTGAGGGTCAGAGATTTGGTTCTCTGAGTTTCTTTCCTTCATAAACATACTGCCCCAAACTCATCTAACTCTTCTCCACTCACAGCTTCTATTTTCTTCAAATAATCAGCCCTTGCTCTCAACTCTGGGCATTCCCACCAGCTAGTGCCTTTCCTTCTGGAGGGTGTCAGAGTTTCTGAGTCTGTCTGCCATTTGGATTCAAATCCCTGCTTTACTAGTTGAGTAAGTTGCTTTGGGCAATTACTTTATGTTTCCTGGTCTGTAAAATAGATAATAAAAGTACTTACTTACAAAGTTATTAGGAGGGATTAAATGAGTTGATATATGCAACAGTGTCTGGCACAAGGTAAACACTAACACATCAGGTATAACTATTATTTTTCTCTGACCCCCTGTTTCCAAACCATTTCCTAAAGGTAAGTATTGATACAATACCTAGCACAGTGACAATCAGCCCACAGCTGATGTCAGAGCCTCTGTCTGCTTTCTTCCATGCTCCTGTTCACCACCATACTGACTGAAATCAGGTATTCTGTCCCTGGAGAAGCTACCTCAATTCTCCACCCCATCCTAGCATTCACCCTTAAAGATGTCCCTAACACTGCTTTCCCATCCCGTGCCAGTCCTCTGCCCAGGGGTATCCTTCATGTTAGCACATGGTATTGAGACTCCTCCCCCTCCAAATTCCAGCCTCCTCTCTCTTCAGCCATTCAGGCATCTGGCTACTGATATTCCTCTCTTTCCCCTACGCCCCTCTCTCTCTTTACAATCCTCATCCTAGGATATATATATATAATATATATATATATATATCCTAGGATGAGGAATATATATACTGTGTGTGTGTGTGTGTGTGTGTGCGTGTGTGTGTATATAAATGGTGTGTGTGTGTGTGTGTGTGTGTGTGTGTGTGTGTATATAAATGGTTTGAGAGAGAAATATCGATGTGAGAGAGAAATATTGACCGGTTGCCTCCCATATGTGCCCTGACCTGGAGTGGAGTAGAACTGGCAACCTTTTGGTGTATTGGGAACAACACTCCAACCCACTGAGCCATCGGGCCAGGACTCCTCACTTCTCCCTTTCATGATACCTCCCTGTTACATGCCACTCCTTCCCAGTTATCAGATGACCAATTTCTCTTTCCATTTTTTAGTTAGAACACTGCCATCCAGGTGGCTCTCCAGGGGATGTGTGGAACAGGGCTCAAGCTGGGTAGAGTGGGGAGGAGTGCAGAGCCCTCCAGGTGCACACCCGGGGGTGCCCCAGCTTCCAGGTTCCAGGGGTCAGTCCACAGCCTGGAGTTCTCTCCTCTCCACGGACATTCCCAGGGCTGGAATCCCTGGATGTGTGGAGCAGTTCTCGTTGAATACTGTTCAGAAAGCTGAGGATCACAAAGGGTTTGTGTGTGTGTGTGTGTGTGTGTGTGTGTGTGTGTGTGTGTGTGTGGAAGGGGAAGCGCCGTTAGCGAGGTGGGAAGACAACGGAGGAGCGCCAGGGAGCCGTGCACGTCTAGGACGGGGTGGAGGAGGGGGGGGGCAGGAAGACGGAAGGCCAGGGTTCCGGAAGGAGATCGGGGTCGGGGGGCGGAGAGCCAAGAGCTGCGGAGCCGGGTTCCAAGGCCAGGGTCCTCCAGGGCAAGACCTCGAGCCCACCTGCCTTACTCCCCGCACTCAGCCTCTAGGCGAGCCGGTGGTCCGCCGAGGCAGGACGTCCTCTCCGGGGACCCGGAAACTGTCCCCTCCCACACAGCTCCGACCCGCGGGCCGCCCTCCTCGCCGGGCTGCACCCGCACGCAGTGTGACCCGTGCCCCGCTGCCGCCCCCGCCCGCAAGCCCTCGCGCCTATTCCTCGGCGACTTCCCTGCGGCAGTGGTGGGACCCCTCGGATCGCGCGCAACCCGCGCGATCCCCCTGGCTCGGGACAGTCCCGCGGCCCCCTCCATCAGCCCTCTCTCGCCCCACTATCGCGCCCTCTCCCCGCCCCTTCTACCGTCCTAAAGCCATGTCCAGCTGCTCTTCCCCCCCGAGGCCGGCTGGCCCACCCGCCCAGGACGTGGAGGTCCTCTGAGGACCGAGGAAGACAGAGTGGCCCTCACAGAGGGCGGCCCCCACGGACCCCCCGCAGGCACAGCCCGCTGCCCCTCGGTCCCCCTCCCCTCCCCTCCCTCTACGCACAACCTACCATCCTGCAGCCTCCGACTTGGCTTGTCCCTCTCCGGCCGCCGTAGGTGCCAGCTCCACTCCCTGTCTTATCCTTTCTCTGCTTCCTCCCCCTCCCGCGGAAGCCCGGCCCCGCCCCGCCCCTTCGCGCTGAGCGTCGCGCAGGCGCCGTAGCTGCGAGGCAAGCGCGCGCGGGCGGAGGATGGATGGAGGAGGAGAAGCGGAAGCCATGGCAACCAGGTCCTTCGCCTTCAGCTTCGAGCAGCTATGTTGTCATGGTAACAAGGCTGTCCTGTGGGCTGCTTCGAGGATGGGGGAGAAAGACAATGAGGTCCTCGAGCTTTGTCACCTTGGAGGGGGGGAAAAAGGCGGGAAAAGGGGTGCGAGGATCATTGGAATTTGGGGGAAATGAGGGAGTCCCGATGGAGGGGTGCGGGCAATGGAGAAGGAGCAGGGTAGGAATTGGATGTAGGGCAGGATGAATGAGGAGAAAGGCTGGAAGGCAAAGGGTGGTGGGGGCAGATATGAGGAAGAAGTATAGAGCTCAAAATAGATATATACTGAGAACCTGCTAGATCTAACACTTTAAAAAAAATTTAAAATTGAATTTACTGGGGTGACATTGGTTAATAAAATCATATAGGTTTCAGGTGCACAATTTTGTAATACATCGCCTGTATACTGTATTCTATAGTTACCCCTCCAAATCAAGTCTCTCTCCATCAGCATTTATCCCCCTATACCCGCTTCTACCCATCCCCCTTTCCTCTGGTAACAACCATATGTTTGTCTGTCTGTGACTATGAGTTGGTATTTTTGATTTTTTTTTCTTAATCCCTTCACCTTTTTCACCCTGTCCCCCACTCCCCTCCATCCCTCTCTGACAGCTGTTAGTCTGTTTTCTATTTAATAGTCTGTTTCTATTTTGTTCATTAGATTCCACATAAAAGTGAAATTATATGGTACTTGTCTTTCTCTGACTGGCTTATTTCACTGAACATAATGTTCTCCAGGTCCATCCATGTTGTCTTAAAGGGTAAGATTTCCTTATTTTTTATGGGAGAGTAGTATTCTATTAGGTAAATGTACGCAGCTTTTTAATCCACTCATCTATTGATGGGCACTTGACTATTATAAATAACATAGTGGTGCATATATTCTTTCAAATTAATGTTTCTGGTTTCTTCATTTAGGGTGTCCCAAAAATGCACACACACAATTTGAATAACTGTGAAGTGTTTATTAAAATATATTTTTATTTTCAGCTGAAACCGGTTGGCTCAGTGGTAGAGCATCGGTCTGTGGACTGAAAGGTCCCGGGTTTGATTCTGGTCAAGGGCATGTTGGTTGCGGGCACATCCCGGTGGGGGGTGTGCATGAGACGGCTGGTCAATGTTTCTCTCTCATCGACTTTTCTGGCTCTCTATCTCTCTCCCTTCCTCTCTGTAAAAAAATCAATAAAACATATAAAAAAATAAAATATATTTTTATTTTCAAAATTGAGCCATTAGCTGTTAAAGTGTGTATACATTTTGGGGGATACCCTGTATATTCTCAGAAGTGGAATCACTGGGTCATAAAGTAGTTCCATTTTTAATTTTTTGAGGTAACTCCATATTGTTTTCCACAGTGGCTGCACCAGTCTGCATTCCCACCAACAGTGCAGAAGGATTCCCTTTTCTCCACATCCTCGCCAACACTTGTTGTTGATTGTTTGATTCTGACGGGTATGAGGTGATATCTCATTCTGGTTTTAATTTGAATTTCTCTGATGATTAGTGACAGGGAGTATTTTTTCTTTCTTTCTTTTAAAAAAATATATTTTATTAATTTCACAGAGATGAAGGGAGAGGGATAGAGAGTTAGAAACATTGATGAGAGAGATACATCCGCCTCCTGCACTCGCACATCCCCCCACTGGGGATGTGCCCACAACCAAGGTACATGCCCTTGACCGGAATCGAACCTGGGACCCTTCAGTCCACAGGCCTACACTCTATCCACTGAGCCAAACCGGTTTCGGCAGGGAGCATCTTTTCATATGTCTATTGGTCATCTCTATATCCTCTTTGGAGAATTGTCTATCCAGATCTTTTGCCCAGTTTTTAATTGGTTTGTTTGTTTGGTGTTGAGTTTTATAAATTATTTATAAATTTTGGATATCAACCCTTTATCAGATATATTATTGGCGTTCATGTTCTACCATTTAGTGGATTGTCTTTTTATTTTGTTGATGGTTTCCTTTGCTGTGCAAAAACTTTTTAGTTTGATATAGTCTCATTTGTTTATTTCTTTTGGTTTTCCTTGCCCTAGGTGATATATCAGAAAAAAATATTGCGATGAGAAATATTTGAAATTTTATTGCCTGTTTTTTTCTTGGATTTTCATGGTTTCAAGGCTAACATTTAAGTCTTTAATCCATATTCTTTTTAAAAACATATATTTTATTGATTTTTTGCAGAGAGGAAGGGAGAGGGATAAAGAGTTAGAAACATCGATGAGAGAGACACTGATTCAGCTGCCTCCTGCACATCTCCTAGTGTGGGATGTGCCCACAACCAAGGTACATGCCCTTGACCGGAACCAAACCTGGGACCTTTCAGTCCGAAGGCCAATGCTTTATCCACTGGTCTAAATCGATTAGGGCCTTAATCCATATTCTTGTGTACAGTGTAAGAAGTATATAGTGTAAGATTTGTTTAGCTTTTAAAATGTATTTCTATTGATTTAAGAAAGGAAGGGAGAGTGAGAGAGCTAAAAAAAATCAATAATGATAGAGACTCATTGATCGGCTGCCTCCTGCACATCCCCCAGTGGGGATGGAGCCCACAGCCTGGGCATATACCCTTACCAGGAATCAAACTGTGACCTGGTTCATAGGTTGACACCCAACCACTGAACCATGCAGGCCGTGCTATTTCTTCTTCTTCTTCTTCTTTTTTTTTTTTTCTGTAAATTTCTGTCGAATTTAAAAAAATATATATTTTATTGCTTTTTTACAGAGAGGAAGGGAGAGGGATAGAGAGTTAGAAACATCAATGAGAAAGAAACATTGATCAGCTGTCTCCTGCACACCTCCTTACTGAGGATGTGCCCACAACCAAGGTACATGCCCTTGACTGGAATTGAACCTGGCACCCTTGAATCCCCAGGCTGATGCTCTATCCACTGAGCAATACTCTGGCTAGGGCTCTGTCCAATTTTTTCAACACCATTTATTGAATAGACTATCTTTATCAAATATTAATTGACCATGCAGTATGTGTATTCATGAGATAAAGGGGTTTGCATATAAGAGAAAAATTTTAAGTTTTGTCATGCTAAAAGCTTAATGGATGTCTCTAAATAATTTTTGGTGACTAGTGGTGCTATTATTTTTTAGTAGCACTTGAAGCAATTGTTAATTAGGACTTGTCTTTCTCCACTAAGTGCTTCTTTTTTTAATCTCTGTTAAGGAGATAATATTCTTTAGTTGCAAGAGGATGGGCATAATTCATCCTGGGATGCAATCTTGTCTCTGACTCTTACCAGCCTCAGGTAATTTAACTCCCCGTTTCCTCATTTTAAACACGAAGCTAAGAAATTGCAAGTTGTTCTGAGGATGTATTGAAAGTATCTGGCATAACCTAAACACTTGATAACAACAGCAATTATCATTACTTATCTTTCCCAAATTCTTCTACTACTTTTTCTTTCTTTTTTTTTTTTTTTTTTTTCATTTCCCTTTCTCCTCTGCTCATACCTTAGGCTTGCCAATGGCATAGACTGCGGCTCGTGAGTGTGGCTCTTCCACAAAATACCACGGCCTGGGTGAGTCTATTTTGAAGAAGTGGCATTAGAGAAGTTTAAGTTTTAAAAATTTGGCTCTCAAAAGAAATTTAAATCGTTGTATTGTTGATATTTGGCTCTGTTGACTAATGCGTTTGCCGACCACTGGCATAGACATTGGCTGAACTATTTTGGTATTGTTTTTTAGGTCAAGAATAATATAAATAAAGCGAGTTAATAGATTTAGAAAGAGTAAATCATTCCAAAAAGATGGAATGGAAGTGTGTAAGAAGGGCAGAAAGCAAAACAAATAAAAAAAGATGTAACCTCTCTCATGGGGGAAAGGAGAAGGTTGTATATAAGGGAGTAATGAGAAGTTAGGTAAGGATGTAAAAGCGAACAGCGAGACAGCCTGTGAAAGTTTGAAAGCTCTAGAGATGGAAACTCCTGCATTCCTGGGAAAACTGACATTGCCTAGAATTCCTTGTCTCAATGAGGTATTCCTACCGAAACAATACGGTTCTTGAGATAATTGTTAGAAATATGGATTTTGCTCATGTAGAACCATAGAGTTCAAGTAGTTTTAACCAATTAGAAAACATTGGACTGTATTTTTTCTTTTCTTTTCTTTTTTTTTGATTTCTTCATTGTTAGCGAGTAATGAATGTAAAGACCCTATGAGTTATTGAGTCCAATACAGCTTGTGTCTGCAGATGAGTTCAGGTTTGTTATAGTGTGCAGGGGCAAGTTGGGAGTTGTTATGATTTTCTGAGCAAGTGAATAACTTGGTGAGCTTTGGCTGGTGTGGCTCAGTTGATTGAGTGTCATTCCCATGCACCTAGAGATCTCAGGTTCCATTTCCAATCTAGGCATATGCCCAGGCTGCAGGTTCTGTCCCCAGTTGGGGCATGTGTGAGAGGCAACTGTTTGATGTTTCTCTCTCCCTTCCCCTTCCTATCTCTAAAATAAATAAAAACACAAAAAAAGAATAACTTGGTGAAAACAGTTTTAAGAAAATTAATCTTAAAACTAATGTGGGGGACAATTTGCAAAAAGAGGTGGAAGACTGGAAGGTCATCTGGGATGCAGTTTGAGGAATTCAGGCACAAGAATGAAGTGGAGAGAGACAAGTTGGAGAGATACCTGTAATGGGCCAATACTGAAGTTGATAACTCATCTAAGTAGAGAAGAAAAAAGGAGAACCAAAGTAGTTGCATGTGTGAGTTGGCCTCATCTCTGCAGTGGATTATAAGTTCCTTGTTGGATGGTGTCTTATTCATCTTTGTTTCTTTATAGCACCCTGCACAGTGCTTGTCAATTGGCTTAAAATACGATTGTATACCTGGTTGTCAAATCTAGATATTTAAATCTTATTTCTCTGTACTGTACAGATCATAAATCATAGAAATGTACACTTGAAACCTATATAATCTTATTAACCAGTGTCATCCCAATAAAATTTAATCTTTATATATATAAAAGCCTAAGCAACTGAACGACTGGTCAACCAGTCACTATGATGCTTACTGACCATTAAGTGGCAGACGCTCAATGCAGAAGCTGCCTGTTGATGGTCAATGTGCTCCCACAACCAACCTCCTGTGGTTAGCCAACCTCCCACTGGCCAGGCTGGGGGACCCCATTTGTGCACAAATTTGTGCACCGGGCCTCTAGTTAATAAATGAAATTTAAAAATCTTACTTCTTACCCCCAAAATGCTAAAATCTATTTTTGTATAAATGGAAAAATGGGAGAGGTGAGATTCTCCTCCATAGGTACAGATGGTGTTTGTGTTGTCACTCTACAAACTGTGCTGACCCCAGCCTATTCCTTCCCTCATCTGGTTGTAGAGGTGGTTCCTGCAGTTGTTGGAAGGGGGGTTCGGATATCCTCTGAAACCTTTCAACTCTGTAAGTCTATGACCTGAGTTTCTTCTTTGTGATGCTCTTTGCACCTATCTTTTGTGCATTCTTTAAGTAGTTCATAGTTCTCTGATGATGTCATTCGCAGTCATCTCCGGCTTTTTGATACATTTTTAAACAAAAACTGAGCAATTGGGATCTTATCATATGATGTTTCTAGTGGTCCTGGCAATTAAAATATTCTCTGTGGTAGATGTTTGCCATTCTTTTTTACCTCCAAGCTCTAAACCCCCTTCCTAGGATTTAGGAATCTCCATCTTATGAATCTATGGGAGCTAGAACAACCTTCCAGTGTAGCATTTAAAATGTCCAGATATTGGTTTTTACAGCTTTCTTTGCACCCACAGCATGTCTCCTGGATTTGGCCAATCTGTGCATCCACCAGGACTTTGGTCCAGGAGGGAATGAGGTGGGGAGGGGGCGGTGGAAGGTAGTTAAGACTCTAGCAGAGGACTGTAGGATAGCAGTGGGTTAGTCCCAAATCACACCAGTGCCCCCACTCCATCCTTACTGGACATGACAATGACATTATGTCACTCATACTATGTTGCCTATTGGCTGAATGTGTGAACCAGTCTCATGTCTCCAGCTGAATTGTAAGCTCCTCATTGGGCAGTGTCTTTTTTCCTTTTTCTTTTTCTTTTTCATTTTGTTGTTTATGGGCGGTATCTTATTCATCTTTTGCTACATCATAGCACCTTGCACCGTGCATTTCAATTACGATCATTGTCAAACCTATTTATTTAAATCTTCTCATCCAAAATGTGCTAAATTCTAATTTCATATTTAACAGTACATATTTAATATCTATTATTTTTTTAAAATATATTTTATTTATTTTTTTACAGAGAGGAAGAGAGAAGGAAAGATAGTTAGAAACATCGATGAGAGAGAATCATCGATCAGCTGCCTCTTGTACACACCCCATTGGGGATGTACCTGCAACCAAGGCACATGCTCTTGACCGGAATTGAACCCAGGACCCTTCAGTCCGCAGGCTGACATTCTATCCACTGAGCCAAACCGGTTTCAGCTTTAATATCTATTCTTTCTGCTAGATGATAAACTATATTCTTTTGATGTTTCTACTGTGCTTGTCATAGTGCCTAACACACAGCAAGGCATCTGATACTTGTTGAATAAACGTGCATAGGACCATCCATTTGAAAATTCCATTGGCCTCTCAGACTTCACTTCCCCCCAAAATTACTTCCTCCTGCCTTTCCCTGAAACCATCCCATCTCTAGGTTTCCCATGTGCACAATGTCACTGCTTTTTCCTAGGCTTGCAGACTTTTAAGTCTGGGACGTGGCAGGTAACATAAAAGTATGGCTATTCAAGGGACGTCAGTTAGACTTGCCTAACTAGACGAGGAGGGATTATCTGAAAGAGAGGGAGACAACTGGCTGGATTATCAGAGGGAGAAGGCAGCGGTTTGAAAACCAGCCTTTTGACGGGGTTTCATCCTCATGTGTGTGCCTTGAACTTGCCTTGCTGTTATTGTTATTTTGTGGTTTTGTTTACATTCTTTTCTGGAATGCCCTGCCATTCCCTTCCCCACAGACCGAAACTCATTTTATTCACAGTTTTAAGTTTCAATCCAGCCTTTACCCTCTAATCTGGCCTATAGTGGTCATTTCTACCCTGTTCCTTGCAATCATTTTTGCAGTGACTTGCACAGTGTTTCAGCTTGTTTGTGTCTATTCTCCTTAGGTACTTAATAGTCAGAAACATCACTTATACTTTTTATAAAGTGCTTCACAGCACCCAGTATAAAGTTAAGCTTTTCTTTTTCCCCCCCTTTTCTTATTCATTCATTCGTTTATTTATTTTTTTCTTTCTCTCTTTTTTTAAAGTTAAGCCTTTAAAATAAATACTTATTAAGTTGAATGGAGTTCAAACTTGGCAAGATTTTGGTGGAAGCCACAGCTGCTTTGCTTCAACAAAGAGCTTTCCACTGGAGTCAAAGCGACATCTGGTGGCTAGGGGACCAAAGGCTACATCAGGATGCTGGTGTTCAGGTTGATAAGGCAAAGGTGTAAATGCAGAACATGCTGATGGCTGGCATGAGGGCAGCACATTTGCTCCTGACTTCCACGGAGCTTTGCTCTGTGTTCACAGAGACTGGTGTTCACTGATGCCATGAAGAAGGCATACTGATATGGTGCAGTGGCAAGGAGCACAGACATGTCCCATTGCCTGAGCTTAAGTAATAATAACAGCAGCAAGTTATTCAACCTCTGGCTGTCTTAGTTTTCTTATCTTTATACTACAGTCCCAGTGCATGAAATTTGTACATGGGTGAGGCTCTTAGGCCTGGCTGGCGATCAGGGCCAGTGGGGGCCTTTTGGCTGCTGGCTGGGGCCTGTCAGACAGGGGAAAGGGCCAGGGGGGTTGGACAGCCATGGGAGGATGGCCGTGGGAGTGCACTGACCACGAGGGGGCAGCTCCTGCATTGAGCGTCTGCTCCCTGGTGGTCAGTGCATGTCATAGTGACCAGTCATTCTGGTTGTTCTGGTCGTTCTGGCATTCCCATTGCTTAGGCTTAGATAGATAGATAGATAGATAGATAGATAGATAGATAGATAGATAATAAGTGTTTGCTACTATTAGCACTGTAACTGGACAATCAAAGGGTCTGGGCTGACTGATATTACTTGAACCAATTAAGCAGAGATGGGGTTGAATCATATATGAGCATTTACTCCAATAATACTGGCAGTAGGGGAGAGCAGGAGGTCATCCACAGAATTCTGCTCTCCTCTCCCCATAAACCAGCTGCTTATATTGGGTAGAAGGACAAAGATTACGTGGGAAAGTAGGAATTACAGGTATGGAAAGCGGGCATGGAATAATCATTACAGGTTACAAGTCATGCGGGCTAGAGGGGCTCACAGAGGCAGGTGCCTCCAGGCGCCCAGGGACCAGATTACAGGAAACGGGGCTGGGGTTGTAAAGAGCAGATGCCTCCACTAGGTTGTTTCATCCACCAGGCTGTGAATCCTTCCACAATGATAGGCAGTTCTCAGACAGGAGGATGGACTGCATTTCAGTGTTAGGTCCCATGTCCCAGGGCATACAACTCTCAGCCAGGCTAGAATGTGCTTTCTCTAATCAGAACGGAATCATGGTTAACAGAGCATGAATAATATTATAATTATAGTTGGTCTCCAATATTCTATTTCTACCCCTAACAGTACCACAAACAAATGTACTTGAGGAACCATCTTTTAAAAATTATTTGGAAATATATGGTGTCTCCTTGACAGGTTTCACTTTGATGGAATATTTTCTGCCATTGAGGGATTTACAAATTTCATACTCATTGCCAATACTTGGGCAGGCAGATAAATAATTTCACTGTGTGAGATTTACAAGAAATCTTCAGTAATGGTGCTGGAAGCAGATCTGGTTTTGTTGTTGTTTGTTTGTTTGTTTGTTTATCTCTATAAGAAACAGACAGGAAGAGGGACTTAGGATGGCCAAGGAGAGGGCAGGCTTTGCACTGTGAGGCTGCACCATTACCTTTGTCCTCAGAACATCTGAAAAAAGCAGAGGGCACTGTTAAATGGGACACTTTCTGGAGCAAATGCCCTTTGCTGTCATGCAAATAAACCCAACCAAGATGGCTATGGCCACAGAAAGCAGGAGGGAGGCTTGGGTTTTCCCGGCAATGGAGGAAGCCAAGCTTTCCGCCTGCCCTTGCCGGCCAAGGCCTCCACTCAAGGCTACAAAGTTTCAATGATAGAAGATACATAAACCCAAACAGAAATGGCGGCAGCCACAGAACTGGAAAAAACAGGAGGCTAGGGTTGCCAAGCCAAGCTTTCTGCACACCCTGGCCTGCCCAGGCCTCTGCTTAAGGCTACAAAGTTTCAATTATAGAAGACACATAAGTCCCAACAGAAATGGCTGCCTCTATTATGTGTGTATGTATATGTATGTGTGTATATATATATATATATATATATATATATATATATCTCATACAATATATACAATATATATATATATTGTATATATTGTATGATCTTATTTGTGAGAAAGTAACAAATATTTTAAATATTCTTATAAATGCTTACCAAAGTTCTGAGAGAGTTCTTACCCAAGAAACTGGGGCTTACTAAGTTCCCACTTTTAATCTGTTGAACTGTTTGAATGTCTTACAATAAGTATGTGTTCTTTTTAAAATATATATACTTTTTTTTTATTTCAGAGAGAAAAGAAGAAGGAGAGATAGAAACATCAATGATGAGAGAATCAGTTGCTTCCGGCACACCCTCTACTGAGGATCAAACCGGTATTCCGGGCTGTGTCCACTGAGCCAAACCACTAGGGCAAGCGCATGTGTTCCTTATCACTTAAAAAGGTCCCCTCATCTTAGACCTGACTGCTGAAGGATCCTTACCAAGTGGTCATCCTGGCTGTCTTAGAACACTTCCAGCGATGGAGAACTCCTTACCTCTTAACTATCAGGCAGTGTTTTGACCAGGACCCTTCCAGATGATAATTACTTCCTATTAGGATATGATCTAGGATTCCAGGGGCTGGTTCTATCAATCTTGTTTTGAAGGGCCTGGAGCTGGATGGTGCGCAATTTTGACAGATAGTTCTTGGTATTTTTTTTTTAGTTTAAAAATTATTTTTGAAAATATGATCAGAAACTAATGTCTTCTGGTGATCTCACTCATATGTGGAATCTAAGTAACAAAATTAACTGATGAACATGGAAGCTTGGAACAGAGTGCAGAATCTCAGAGGGAAGGTGGGGAGGGCGGGTGGTGGGAGGTAATCAATCAAAGACCTTGTATGCATATATGTGTAACCCATGGACGCAGACCATAGAATGGTGAAGGTGGGGAAGGGGAGACAGGGAAGATGAAGGGGGCCATGGGGGGAGGGGAAGGGGACAATGTAATACTTTCAACAATAAAGATTTTAAAAAAGAAAAAAAAACTTTTCTGGGAACAGTCTTCAAGTTACTAGAGGAAGAGAATAAAATACTTTTTAGGATGTCATTTTAAAAGAGGATATGAAGCCCTAACCAGTTTGGCTCAGTGGATAGAGCGTTGGCCTTCAGACTCAAGGGTCCCAGGCTTGATTCCAGTCAAGGGCATGTACCTTGGTTGCAGGCACATTCCTAGTGGGGAGTGTGCAGGAGGCAGCTAATCGATGTTTCTAACTCTTTCTCCCTCTCCCTTCCTCTGTAAAAGAATCAATAAAATATATTTTAAGAAAATAAAGAGGATATGAAGAATGTACACAACAAAAGAGCTTTGGTTTTCAAGGGACCTGATATGTAAATGGGGGTGGGGATAGTGTGCACACCTGAGCATACTTGAATAAAAAGCACTGCTACATTCCAGGAAAAGGAAAAAAAAATCAGTAAATGCCAAGAGGAGTGTGAGGATATTGATTGAATCCATGGAAATGCTGGCTGGAGCAAATGGACTTAGTCTGGATTTTGATAATTGGGGATGGGGTAGGTGCAGGGCACAGGAGCATTTGGTGGTAGAAAGAAATGGTGTGAATAGAGATGGAAACCCAGGGGTACAGTGGGTGTGTGCAGGCCTGTCTGAGTGGTAGAAGGTGTTTGGGGGAACCCTCTTTCCTTTTTGAGGATGATGCCCAGGGGGAGAATCATGCCCACACAGTATGTCCCTGGAGCGTTCTTGCTGAGTGCCCAAGACCAGTCCTGTGGGCTTGCTGTGGACTTGCCACAGCCCGTGTGTGAGTGTGTGTGTGTGTGTGTGTGTGTGCGTGTGTGTGTATGCCTGGCCCATGTGCATGTTTCCTAAAGATCCCCTTCGCCGGAGATGGCTGTGAACTGACAGAGTTTTGATTTTGTCCTGTGTGAGATGTGGAAAATAAAGGCGGGGACTGTTTTTGAAATGTTCTTTTTATTTATTTATTTTTATTGTTTTAAAAAACATTTCTGCTTTTTACATATCAAAAGTGAAAAAGTATATAATTCAACACAATTTCAAAAACATTGGACCCTACATTTGGGTCTCCTTGTGAGTATAGTTGTGGCTATCACTGTCCAGTGCATAATGAGAAAAGAAAACAACAACAACAACAAAGGGCCAAGGTTTTTCACTGAAGAGCACATTGGGATGATTAGAATTCTATTAGGATGCATTCATTTGACATCTATGTGCAATTCTTCAATAAATTGGTCTTCATGCCATACCCCTTAGCTAGCTGGTTTTCAGGAAAATTTCCTAACTGGGGTAGTTGAGCCTGAATTCACGGTCTCTCTTTTGTTCCCCCCTCTCTCTTTCTCACGTGTCCACCGCTCACACACAGCAGCCGGAAATGACACACCAAAGTGAGTCACCAATGCAGCTGTGAGTCACCCAATAATTGAGGAAAGTTCTATCCTGCTAGGTCGTGCATCCCTTTGCACTCCTGCTCCTAAATACATTGGAAAATTTTAAAATCTCTCTGTCCTCCCTCTAGTCTCTCTTGCCCACCACATCCTTTTGGTCCCTAAAAAAGAAAGTGATAATCTTGGCAGGGGTCCTAATCCATCAAGTGGAAAGGAAAGGAGAGTGACGGGGTTCAGGCAGCCACAAGGTGGCAGTGTGGGCCCCTCACGCTTCCGCCCAGAGGGGTAATGGCAGCTAAATGACTAGACTCCTGAGATGCAAATCACACAGCTCACAAAGGAATACTCTAAGCAAGTTTAAATAATATGCTTTTTTTTTAATAGTCCTCTTTCTCTCTAACAAGCACACAAGAAAGTGATAAATATTCAAGCACACCTCTGTCATCCTACCCTCCCCACGAGGAGATTGGAGCCGAGAGCCAGGCACACCTTCTTCCTCTATTCCTGCAAAATCAAGTTTGTGGGAAGCAGAAACCTGCTTCTATAAGTAAACAAGTCACCTACACTCTGAAATAATAGATGCTCACTGTTCCAGGGGAGGGAGACCGCCAGGCCAGGGTGAGACGCTGCAATTGGTAGGCAGTTGCTCTGCCATTCCTCAGCACCTCTGCGCTGGAGAAGGATGGATCTTGCAATGAAAAGGTGTTTCTTCCATTGGTTTCTGGCCCGACGCCAGCCTCCACAGCAGTGGCAGACAGTGCAAGAGTGAGGGCAACGTGACTGGAACACAGTTTCTCCTGTAAGCCTTGCGGTGCCATCCTGCCAGGGCCTCAGGCGATCCAGATCTGAAGACCCCGAAAGGCAGAGTGATGGGCAGAAGCAGCTGCACACATGACTCTGAGAGTTTTACAGTCGGATTTGGAGAACTTCAGGGTCTCCACTGGGGAGTTTTCTTGAAAGGTCTCCTTTCTCTCCTTTGGAGAGGCTGAGGTCTAAAAGGCAGATTTACCGTTAAAAAAAAAAAAAAAAAAAAAAAAAAAGCGAGTATCTTCTCTCTGTCCAGAAAGATTAATTAAAAAGTTCTTTTCTTCGCAGTTTCTTCTTCTCTGATACATCTCCAGTTCTGTCCCAGTTGAGAACTTCTTTTTTCATGGTCAGGGTTCCATCACTTGGCCCATGAAAAGGACTGTTCCTGAGGATGGAAGAATCGTGGGAAATGAGAATTGGAAGGAATGGCAGAGCTCCCCAAGCGTGAAGTTATGGGTGAACTAAGATGAGTGAGATGTCTGGGGTTACAGCTGCTTTAGTGACTAAGCTAGGACTGGGGTCCTGGCACAGCACTCCATCTTTGAGGAGGGAAGAGGAGCAGAGTTATGGATTTTTTGCCTGGAGTTCCCGGGTAAGAGGGTGTCTACGCTTGTCAGGACCAGTGCCTGAAACGGGGGAGCACTGTGGCCTCGGCTCACCTGTGGGGTTGTGCCGCACCACAAAGAGGAAGGGTCTGTCCATGATGATCTCCTCAGGGGCCATTCGGGCTGAGACGGCAATGGCTGGAAGAGAAGGGACAATGTCTTAGAACCAAGGGACGGTTCCTGGACCCTAACCTTGAAAGTTTAGGGAAGTCTCCTGAGGCCTGGTCTCTTTCAGGAGCTTGGTAGAGATCCATCAACTGCTCTCCTTCAAACAGACATTTATCTAAACCCTTTTAGGGCGTATTAATTCCTTAAGTTAACTAGCCACTGTGAGAACAACCCAGACTTTCCTTTGGGAGTTTTTTCACATTCAGAGGCCCTCATGAGCTGCTGGAGGCAGGGAAAGCAGCCCATTTTCTTGGCTGAGAAACACCAAGGAGGAAAGGACAGTACTCCCCGCACAGGAAGTGCTGCTCTGAGGCCTTGTGACGCAGGGCAGGGGGAGTTCATTCCAGGTGTAGGTGCCTTAGGGACCCTCCTGTAAGCCTTGGGCCAAGACTTGCCAGGCCTCACCTGAGCCTGACTCACCTGTAGAGGAGGATGCCTCCGTGCCTCTCTCATTCACCTTGATCTTCACTTTTTGCAGGGCCTGCGATACATAAAGAGGCTCTTGATCTGAAACAGGAGTGGATACAAGAGTAGATCAGATCGGTTTTCTGGGAACAGCTCCTTTATCTTCTAAGGGGCCACACAGCCCACCAAGATAAGAAATGAAAGGAAAATCTCTTACCTGAAAAAATGGAGAAGTCTGCCTGACTTGGATTAAAGATGTTGGTCATCCCCAAGTTCTCCAAGGGCCTCCTGAGG